AGGCCTCTGGAAGCTTTGCTGGTTAATGAATTGACTCAGGAAGTTATCTTGCAGAGGAACTGGGTGGGGCTGCTTTTAATTCAGGCTACCTTTGGAATATATCGCTATATTTTAATTCATATTTTTAGGGAGCTAGGTCATGCATTTCTTAGAGAACTCTGAGCCTGGAGTTAGGAAGGCCTGAGTTTAAATCCAGCCTTAGACACTTTATGAATGTGTGACCCCTGGTCAAGTCATTCAACCTCTCTCTGCCTCAGTTTCTTCAACTGTAAAATGTAGATAATAATAGCACATATCTCCCAGGATTGTTGTGAGGATAAAATGAGATAATATTTCTAAAGCACTTTGTAAATCTTAAAGTGATATTTAAATGCTAGCTATTCTTACTTCAATATAAAGAGTGTAGTAGAAGTAGCAAAGGGGCAGCTAGGTAGTGCAGTGGAAAGAGAGATGGGCCTGGAGTCAGGAAGACCTGAGTTCAAATTCAGCATCAGACTCTTGCTAGGTGTATGACCCTGGGCAAGTCACTTAACCCTGTTTGCCTTAGTTTCCTCATCTGCAGAATGAGCTGGAGAAGGAAATAGCAAACCACTACAGTATCTTTGACAAGAAAACCCCAAATGGGGTCATGAAGAGTCAGACATGACTGAACAACAGCAAGAAGAGGTAAAGAGTAATAGATAAATGATGTTGGAGTCAGGAAGACCTAGATTCAAAGTCCACCTCTGATACTTACTAGCTGTGTGACCCTAGGAGAACCGTTTAACTTCTCACTGTCCCAGGGACTTATATAATAATAATAATAATAGTAACAATGATGACAATAATTTATTGTTTGGTCATTTTCAGTTGTGCCCTACTCCATCCTACTCCTGACTCTAGATCCAGCCGCTCTATCCACTTTGCCACCTAGCTACCCTAGCAGCAACAATAATAAATAACAGTTATATAGCACTCTAAGGTTTGTAAAGAACTTACATATTATTTCATATAATCCTCACAACAACCCAGGGAGGTAGATGCTGTTATTATCCCCATTTTACAAATGGAGAAACTGAGACAGAGAAAAGTTAAGTGACTTTCCCAAGGTCACACAGCTAATATTTGAGATCAAATTTGAATTCAAGTTTTCCTGACTATGCCGCCTAGCTGCCACTTCTATTACTAAATCATAGATGGCTTGATGGTGGAAGGTGTTCCCACCATGATAGATAGTCGCTCTTGATGCTTTCTAGCTGTCTGTCCATGGGCAAGTCACATTCCATCCGTTAAATGGGGGATAATAATATTTGCACTATCTACCTTGTACAGTTGTGAGGAAATTGCTTTGTAAACCTTAATGTGCTACTGAAATGTGAGTTACTCACATATACCCTATAAGACAGAGAAGATGGAGGCCCGTTTGACGAGGTCTTCTTGCTAATGAAGTTGTGATGTGTAGTGATCAGCTCTGCATTCTGCTGTGTGCAGCGATGAAACCACTGAAACATGTTTATTGCTTTGTAATTTTGCTTTTTGATTGCTTTATTGGCTGCATATTTCTAGTTTAATGATGAAGAAATAATGAGGGCTCTTGGAATTCTTCAGTGCTTTAGGAATTGGTTGATTCTCACGGATGGAGCCAGGGCTTGACCTTGTGAATTTCCTCTAAATGGCTAATGACCTTTTATACACCGTGAAAGGTTGTTATGATGGGGATGATGGCTGGGGAAGGAGAACCAGGGGGTAATGAATAAAATTTTTTTAGTGTCCATCAGCTTGGTGAAAACTGGAAACAAGGAGTCTATGAGACCAAATTAGACCCCTGTCTGAATGGAACTGAAGGAATTTGAATTATCCTGGGTTGTGGTCTAGGTGGGATGCTCTCCACAGAGCAGTCTGGGCCTGGGTAGAAGGTCCCAGGGGCTTAAGATTTCCTGAGTGCTGTTCTCCCCTGCCCCAATTCTAGACAATTCAATGATTTCTGATTTTTTCAGGGTGGGGCCTGTTGCAACATTTCTACAACTTTTGAAGTATCTTTGAGAGCTTGTCATGAATAATGATGATGATGTATCACCTTGCAGAAGATCTGGGACAGATGGACATTCTGTCATGGGCCTTCGATCAACTCTAACTCTTTTCAGCTTATAGGACCTACCAGAGCTTGTATTTTGTGGGTATAAGCATTAAGAATCAGGGTTAACTACATGTTATTGTAATAAAAATGCAGGTGTGGGTGAGGGGAGTCCCTGTAATGTCAATCAATCAATAAGTACTTACTATGTATGTGCCAGCCATTGGGGCAGCTAGGTGGTACAGTGCGTAGAGTGCCCTTAAGGAAGATTTATTTTCCTGAGTTCAAATCTGTACTGAGACACTTAATAGCTGTGTTATCTTGGACAAGTCACTTAATCCTGTTTACCTCAATTTCCTCCTCTATAAAATGAGCTGGAGAAGGAAATGGCCAACCATTCCAGTATCTTTGCCAAGAAAACCCCAAATGGGGTCACAAAGAATCAGACACACCTGAAAAATGACTGAACAACAAGACAGCCATTGTGCTAAGTGCTGGGGATATAAAGAAAGGCAAAAACAGTCCCTATTCTCAAGGAGTTCAAATTCTAAAGGTGGAGGTAACATTCAATAAACTAGGTACATACAAGCTGTATATAGTGTAAATGGAACCTATACTCAGAGCAAAGACACTCATAGTGTGAGAAGAGACCCGGAAAGACTTCCTGCAGAAGGTGGAATCTGAACTAAGTTTTGAAGGCAGGAGGCAGGAGGCAGAGGTAAGGAGGGAGAGAATTCCAGGCATGGAGAACAGCCAGTGTAGAGACAGAGCTGGGAGATGGGATTTCCTGTGTGAGGAACAGCAAGGAGATGCATCCTAGAATATGTTGAGGAAGTAAAGTGTAAGAAGACTGGAAGGGTAGGAAGGGCCCAGCTTTAAAAGGCTCTAAAAGCCAAACAGAAAATTTTATAATTTGATCCTGGAGGTAGTAGGGAGCCATTGGAGTTTATTGAAGGGTGTGGGCAAGGGACAGGAGAGATGTTGTTAATTGCCTTTTAGGTAGAACTGCAATTCCATATCTTTCTTAATAGTCTCTATTTCCAAAAGCTTTCAGATCTATTATTCCATTTTATCCTCAAAGCATCTCTGTGTAGTGAATTTGTACAACTCCAATTACTCTCCTTTTTATTTTGTTTTTTATAAATAGGGAAAGTGAAGTGGATAGTGGTAAGTAACTGAGGACACACAGTAAGTTAATGGGAGAGAAAAGACTAGAATTCAGGAGTCCTGATTTCTAGGCCACAGCAGGTTCAAGCTTATTGGCTTTGTTTATGTAGCCTGGAAAGATCTTTCCTATTTAGTTGCCTCTGTGAAGATCCACAGGGTCTGGGGAAATGATTTGCAGAGGGTGGCTTGATAGAGCTTATTTTACCCCACAGCTCTGATTGATGAATGCCTCACATAATTTATGACATCTAAGCAGGCTCTAGCCACGTTTCACTTGACTTCCACGCCATCTTTTTTCTTGCCATCTTGTCTTACCATCATACTGCTTTCCTCCTCCCCATGTCTAGTTCTAGAACCATAATCAAACCAAGTTGTGAACTGCTTCTTGAAATGGCATGTCAGGCTCTACCACTCACCATCCCAGGGACTTTCCAAACCATAACACCCCATCTGGCCACTGCTCTTCTGTTAGAGTTGTCTGCTTATAATAGAATATTAACTCCTTGGAGTTAATCTCCTCAGAGATTGCTTTTGTTTTTGCATCCCAACTCTTAGTATGGTGTTTGGCATAGCTAAGCATTTAACAAATGCTTTTTCATTCATTCATTCCGAAACTAGCCCCTCCTTTTTTTATTCACGTTGGTGTTTCAGTAATTTTTCAGTAGTGTACAACTCTTTGTGACCCCATTTGGGGTTTTCTTGGCAAAAATACTGGAGTGGTTTGCTTGTTTTACATATGAGGAAACTAAGGCCAATAGTGTTAAGTGACTTGCCCAGGGTCACACAGCTAGGAAATGTCTGAAGTCAGATTGAACTCACAAAGATGAATCTTTCTGACTTTAGGACTGATATTATATCCATTGTGCCACCTAGCTGCCCCCCTCTTCTATTCATGCCTGGCACCAAGTATCTGGAATAACTGACAAGATAATGAAACTTCTTCATTTCAGTGCCCTTTTTAGAGAATGGATTCTTATCCCCAGGTTTCCTGGTAGGATGTGATGATTTGAGGGAACATGTTGAATTTGAGGTTCCAGTGAAGCACCAAGTTGAACTATACACCATACAATTGAAAATATGGAAGAGGGGCAGCTAGGTGGTACAGTGGGTAGAGCATCGGCCCTGCAGTCAGGAGGACCTGAGTTCAAATCCGGCCTCAGACCAAATACTTGACCCTTACTAGTTGTGTGACCCTGGGCAAGTCACTTAACCCCAATTGCCTTAAAAATATGAAAGAGAAATAAGAACTAGAGATGTAGATTTTTGGAGTCATTTTCATAGAATCAATAGCTGAAGTTTTGTGACTAGATATTAGCAAGGAGGAATGTGTAGAGTGGGCAGAGAAGAGGACTAAAGACAGAGCCTTGGGAAATACTAAGAGGCAGAAAGAAGCAAGCAGAGACGCAGGAGAAAAACAAGGGTCATATCAATCATGTCATGGAAACCAAAGGAGGAGACAGTATGCAGGAGAAGGGTTGGTCAATATGATTAATGCAGAAAACAAGAAAAGAAGGCAGTATGGAATAGAGTGGAACTAGAGTCTGAGTCATGAACACCTGGGTTAAAATTTTAACCTCAGACACTAGCTGGGTGATCATGAGCAAGTCAATTACCCTATCTGAGCCTCGGTTTCCTCATCTGTAAAATAGGGATAGTATCAGAGTTTTTGTAAGGCTGAAGTGAGATAATATATGTAAAGTACTTTATAAGCTTTAATACTATTTTTTTTTTAAGGTTGACCAACCACTTTATTTTCCTCTGATCAGTTCAGGAATGTTGATGGGAAGATAGCTCTTTACATAGGCTTTGGAGGGGGTCTGGGGGCAGCGGGGTGGGGGTATTCAATCCTTTCGTGCCTTCTGGGATGATTCCTCACTACCTTGCTGCGGATAGTGCAGCTCACACAGTAATGCAGATTCACATACAGTTTGGGCAGCACATAGGAGTCGAAGATGCTGGCCTCGGAGATGTCCCTGACGGACGAACCTCTTGATGGCCTTGTCCTTGGGCACGCAGCGGGCGCAGTTGGTGCAGTGGATGGGCTGCTCGTGGCCGTGGCCCTTGTTGGCATGCCCGTTTTCCCTCATCTTCTTGGTCATCTTGGAAGCCAAGAACCGAAAAAAAAAAAAACCCCAAAACAAAACGCTTTAATACTATTTTGCAATAATTACTTCCCTTTATGCACACTGGTTTTCTTTACTGTTCCTTATATATTGTACTCCATCTCTCATCTCTGTGTCTTTGTACTGGTTGTGCCCTATGTCTGGGATGCATTTCCTCTTGACCTCCTTCCCTTAGAATGCTTACTTCCCCTTAAGGCTCAACTCCAGGGTCACTTTATACATGAGGTCTCTCTTTCCCCCTCCCAGATGCTAGTTCTTTGCTCTCCCCACCCCCATATCTATTTTGTACATACTTCTATTGCAAGGAAATGGCAAAATCTCCACTATCTTTGCCAAGAAAACCTCAAATGGGGTCATGAAGAGTGGGATGTGACTGAAAAATGACTGAGCAACAGCAAAAATATAGTACATATTGTCTTCCTTGAGGACTTAGTGGTTTTGTTGTTTGGCCTTCGTTTTCAAAGAGGACCGGCGGCATCATAGGGTGACGTAGTGACTTGCCTGTGAATTGGATTTAAGTCAGGAAGAATAGCACAAAGTTGTTAGCCTCACTCTCTCCTCCTGAGTCATCAGAGTCCAGTGGCAAGACAAAAAGTCAGGACGACTGGCTAGTAAGTTCATTGAAGACAGAGACTTCACTTTTTTTCTTTATATCTCCTGTGCTTGGCACATAGTAGGCACTTATTAAAGCTAGTTAATTGATTGTGATAAATAAAACACAAATTCATTTAAAAGCACAATTAAAATCATAGGAACTTTTTGTCATTCGTTGTCTCAATCAATAGATACACCCCACTACAATCATGTGGAGTCTGCAAAATTGTTTGATGTTGGAAAGGGGATCTTATATTCACAGAACCACAGCCTTTCAGAGTTGGAAAAGACATTATGGGGCATCTAGTTGGATCCATAGCTGGAATCAAGTCAAGAAGAACGTATTAAACAGCCAGACACTGTGGAATACAAAGAAAGCAAACACGGTTCCTGCCCTCAAGGAGTTCACGGTCTAATGGGGGTGGAAAGGGAGAAAATATGCTCACAACTATAACCAAACAAGATATATACAGGGTAAGCTGGACATAAACTCAGAAAGAAGACACGAGCGCTAAGAAGGACCAGTACAGGCTTCTTGCAGAAGGTGGGATTTTAGCTGAGACTTGAAGAAGTTAAGAGGAAGCAGGAGACAGAGATAAGGCGTGGGGGACAGCCAGTGAAAATGGCCAGAGTGGAGAGATGGAATATCTTGTGTGAGAACAGCAAAGAGGCCAGTGTCACTGGATCGTAGAGTAAATGAAAGGGAGTAATGTGTAAGAAGACTGGAAAGGGAGGGAGAGGCCAAGTTGTGAAGGCTTTAAAAGCCAAATCGATGCTTTTATATTTGACCCTGAAGGTGATAGGGAACCACTGGAGTTCATTAAATAGGGATGTGTGTCATGAATAAGATAAGGAAACTCCATAAGTGGGGATGAGGGCTCAAGAGCACAGAGGAAAGATTTTCCTGTTTTAATAATTTTGGAACATAATCTGTGCCATATCCTAAGGATTCTAGGACCTGGACTAGTTAGAGCTTTCTTCTTTCCTAGCTATTCTAAATCTGAGGCTCAGTGGGTTTGGGTCACTCACCTACAGCTATGAGCTCTCCCTCAATGGTCAATTAATTCATTAGTGTATTATTCTGTCTCCTATATGATTGCAGAAAGCAAATACATAATTTAGTTGACAGATGTTACTTCTGCTGCACCTCAAGTATCACTTGAGAAATTTGCCAAGTGCTCATATCCTGTATACGCTGACAGTCATCCTTCCCTCCCTCCCTCCCTCCCTTCCTCCTTCCCTCCCTCCCTCCCTTCCT